GCCATCAATATGTTGATGAAAGCGAAACAAACCTCCACTATTTCGGCATACATTGCCTATTTCAAATGAATCTCGGCAGAAGCCGAGTGCATAGATGCAGACGTCGAAACAACGTGTTTCAGACAAGGACTCAGGAAAGAAGTCCAAGAAGCAATCCTCATTAGGGAGAAAATGCCTGCAGATATCAAAGAGTGGATTGAAGCCACCAGAGAATACGAATCTAGGAGGCAGCTCATAAACTCTGGAAACTTCTCGAAGAAGAACGACCCATACGCAATGGACATAGACAAAGTCGACATCGACAATGAAGAAGCAACTCCAGTTCGCAACACTCGACTTTTTCGGTCTGAGCAAGACAGACATCGCAAGTTGGGACTCTGCTTTAAGTGTGGAAAGCAAGGGCTTATGAAAGATTGCCCCAACCACAGAGACTCCGCCCCCGGTTGGCAGAAACCGGCCGGACGACCAGTCCGTGAAACCAAGATCGAACAAGACTGATCAAGACGCAGAGTATCAGGAATTCCTCGCTTGGAAAGCTTGGAAGGCGTCGAAAGTACCTTCTTCTTCTAAGAAGGATTTCTAAATGGGGAGACCAGACCAGCATCGGAAACCCCTAGTACATCTATCGGACTCATTGTATCTTCTGTAGGCGATTCGAATTCTATGCGCATTCCTATTTTGATCGAATCCTGCAAGTCCAACAAAACCGCTGAGGCTGCTGCCCTAATTGATTCAGGCGCCGCTGGGACATTCATTGACTGGAAATATGTACGAAAGAACAACTTCTCAACTCACAATCTCTCTTCACAAATCGAAGTCCGGAACGTGGATGGAACGAAGAACAAAGCAGGAACTATTAGCAAAGCCTGCAATCTTTTCTTCTCAGCAGGAGGCCGAACTATGTTCGCCACCTTCCTCATTACCTCCTTAGGAGGCGAAGACATCACCCTTGGACTTCCATGGCTCAAGAATGAAAATCCAACTATTGATTGGGCTAAAAGCGAAATTTTGCTAGAAGAAGACCCAGTCATGATTCAAACCCTTATCACTGATAGAAACAAACACGCTTCCATGCAACCCAGAATAGAAGAAATCTTAGATGAAGAAGCCTATACACCCTCGGAGGAAATTCCCAAGGAACAACCAGAGCTTCTACCCGAAGAAGAAGAAGACCTAGAAGAAATAATAGAAGAACTGCAAGATGACGAAGTTCTTATTGCTTACGTCAAAGGAGAAGAATTCGTGGGAGTATACGAGAAAATCAACTTTGATTCACCACTCACCCAGGAACATATTCCTTCTTCCTTTTCCTTTGTGTCTCAAACAAACAGAATCTCTAAAGTCCCCAACTCTGCTCGATTCATGTTCTCCCCAATTCCTGTACGAAAGGCTGCAAATGTTGCCCAACAACTAGCACAAGAAGCATATGCTAAAGAGAAACCAAAGACGTTTGAAGAACTCGTGCCTGAAGTCTTCCACATGTACAAGGACGTCTTTGACAAAGCAGCCATGGACACTCTACCCCTGTCTCGACCCTTTGATCACAAAATCAAACTGAAACCCGACTTCGAACCACAATCTTGCAAGATCTATCCATTATCTGCACCAGAAGAAAAGGCGATGAACGAATTCGTAGATGAACATTTGGCAAAAGGGACTATCATACCATCACAGTCCCCTCAAGCATCACCTTTCTTCTTCATAGGAAAGAAAGACGGATCCCTTCGCCCATGTCAAGATTATCGAAGACTCAATGATGCAACTGTAAAAGATGCATATCCACTTCCTCGCATCCCTGATCTTATTGACAAATTAAAAGGAGCAACAATCTTCATGAAAATGGATGTTCGTGCAGGATACAATAACGTTCGAATTCATGGACCAGACAGATGGAAAGCCACATTCAAAACATCAAGAGGACCTCAATTTGCAGCTAAGTTCACGCAAGAACTAGGAAGACTTCTCGGATACAAAATTGCGCTCTCCACTGCCTTCCACCCTCAAACTGATGGAGAAACAGAACGAGTAAATCAAGAATTAGAAGTGTATCTCCGCATCTTCTGTGCGAACGACCAGACCTCGTGGTCAGAAAAACTTCCCATGGCAGAATTCGTACACAATTCCTGACATCACTCCACACGCAACGCTTCTCCGTTCTATCTCATGATGGGATACCACCCTCAAGCATTACCATTGGCTACCGAGAAATCGGATCTCCCAGCCGTCGAAGCGAGAATATCAGAACTCCAGAAAGCCAGAGAAGAAGCCTTATCTTCACACGAACTCGCTAGACAAACCATGAGGCAAAGAATCACTCGATCGTTCACACCCTTTAAAAAAGGCGACAAGGTTTGGCTAAAGCAAAGAACCTTCATCTCAATTACCCCAATAGGAAACTAGCACCCAAAAGAGAAAGACCTTTCACTATCTCGGAAGTTCTTGGACCAGTCACATACCGCCTAAAACTCCCAAACCAATGGCGTGTTCATCCGGTATTCCACGCAACGCTTCTTACCCCTTATCGAGAAAATGAAGAACACGGCCCTAACTTCCCATCGCCACCTCCTGACCTAATTGATGGAGAAGAAGAACACGAGGTAGAAGCCATCCTCGGACATAAAGGAACTCTCTCACAGCGACGCTTCCTTGTCAAATGGAAAGGTTACCCATCGGCCGATAATGAATGGCTATCGGAGTCTGATTTAGCCAACTCCGCTGAAATCTTGAACAGATATAAGCAGGCACATCGACTAATTCCCCTCTCAACTCGAACCATCATCACTAAGCCATTCAAACCATGCCCTCTACCGGTGGACATAACTACATTTCCTCCAGTGATGAAGATATAAAACTCGTCATCACACATAGCAGCGCTCCGAATGTTCCTATCCCCAATCTTAGATTTCCCGTCTTCTCCCCACGCCCTCATTACATGACTATCAGTCAGAGGAACTCTCCTGAACCCCCTCGTCCGACTTCTCCTTTGCCGCCCTCGGGACAATCGTCCCCGTACCAAATATTTAACGAACCAGTTATCCCCACGTTCATCGATACCCCCACCAGTCCTACCACTATTCGTACACGTGAGCGTGTTGCAGCTCGTCAACGAGCAGCTCCTTGGAAGGTAGCAACTGACCCCTACTTGTCCGATCTTGGAGATCGTAGACTTCGTCGTAGGATCATGCTGTCGTCCAAACTTTTCAAGAACCCTATCAAAGACATCATTGACACCGAGCCTGCGCTCAATGCCCTTTATGACCTCTATCGTCTCGGAGATCGTCTCAAGAATACCTTGGAAAGGCATAACGCTGAGTACAGAGAAGAAGAACTCTTCTCACTCGACTATAGCATCCGAGACATCAAAGAGAAGCTTCAACAATTGACGTTGATCCTTATGGAGGAAAGAGGTTTCTTTGAGGCCCTAGACGGGCTTGGAGGAACCGAAGACGAGCGGCATCATGGTCTTGAGTGAAAGTCTGGGACTTTCCACGTAAGAAGGGGGTGATGTTATGGCTGTGCTTATCTTGCTTCTTTTTCCCTTGATCCACGCTTTCTAAGCATGTCTCTTATCATGTTATATTTAGTTCGGTATTACTCAGACACCTCATTGCTTACGCATGTGCTTACTGATACATACCTATTATTACATCATACCCTGTACCCTCTGGACTATATAAACCTTGGCTAGGTGACGCTGATTCTTCAGCTTAACCTACACTGGTTTTCCTCTGAAACATCTGACTTGATTCTAAGTTACCTCTTCGGTACTTAGCCTTGACTTAAGCTTAGGACATTCTTAAGACTGTTGTCTTGAACGTATCGACAGACCTTTGGTCTTATTGACTATTGTTTGCCTGTGTTATACTTCGGCGTAACATCAACCATCCGCCTCACATCCTGCATGCTATGGTGAAGAAGCACAGATTTCATTCAACATTCAGCTCAGTTCAAGAGACTGTCATCCTGGACTTGGAGACAAGCAGAATGAGCAAGGAAAATCTGAGCAAAATCTGTGAGGATCACCTTACATTTGAGCAAGAAAACCAGGTGCTCCATCAAGGTGTGTATTGCACGTTTGTGTAATACCTTACAGACCACCTGATTATTGACAGCAATCGACACCCAAACTCAACAACTTCTTGCTGAAGCAGCAATTTATGTGTGACCCTCTAACCATCCAGGAGACCTAGTGTCATATCCCGTACCTTCGGATCTGGAATTCCGGATCTACTCCATTAAAGTCCGGTTCTCCGTCCTGCTATTCTGCCCGGTGCTCCGCCTTCATCTCCGCACTCACCCCTAACTCCTTTTAGATTAGCCATTGCTCCGGTCACCGGTTATGTCCTTTCCACTATGCTTATTGATCCGTCCATTCCTACTTCATTTCCGACTTCACTGCTTTGATCCGTTACACTTAGTAATAGACTTTCCACATGCTTCATACATAGCCTTTACCTTTGCTGACTGATTTACTTACATGATACCTACAGTATATAAACCCCTGTAATACTCCAGAACTCCTCAGTTCGAATATCACCTTAGTTCCTGCTCATTCCTGTACCTCTGGACTTAAGCTTGTCTCTTGTCAATCTCCGAGTCTTAGGATTGATTCCTTTGACTATACCTCCGACTCTCCATCTTAGTTCTGCTCATTCCTGCAATCTCTGGACTTGAGTCTCATCTCTTGTCTACCTTCGAGTCTTAGGGGTTAAACCTTAGGACTACTTCTCCGGCTCTACCTTAGGGTAGTCTAACCTCTGTTCTGTTTCTACTCCGGACTTCCATAGTAGCCTTACTCCGTCCCCGCATAACCCTTCCGGAGTTACGCCAAACTCCACCGACACTAAGTCCTCCAGAACTCCCTGGACTTCCGTCGGACTTCCCCTCTGTCCCCGGGAAATTGTAGGGCACGTACTGGGGCAAGGGGCGCAGCGCACGAGCTGAAGCTGAAGCCCTTTGAGCAACCTCTCCCTTGAGCACGACCTTAACACCTAGATACAATGTTTGATTGTGGAGACGGGAGCAATGGTCTGATGGACGTTGATGAAGCAATTGAGAGACCTAGTTCTGATGAAGAAGACAAGAGAAATGACATAGACACACCTATAGCCAGTCATGATGGGCATGCAGTTACTGCCGCTAGAATGCATGTTATTGCATGGTATGTGTATTGTTTTCAACTACTATGTGTTTACTGACTTGTGCTACACCATATCTCAGCATTCAAGGCAAACATCATTGTCAGCATGCACCTCACACTCAACTTCACCACAACCGTCAGATGCATGCAGTGTGGGATTCGCAAATGCCATCCCTTGTTGATGCCTACTTGCGGTGGAAGCACAATGATCCCAATCAAGTGGGCACTGACCAGCCTCAAGTATCAGGCTTGATGTTTCATGTTTCAACTATTGATGTTGCATATAAGGTTTGGTTGTGTTGTTGAGACCAGCACTAAATTTCAGTTTAGGTCACACACATACCAAAGCTGTTTCTCAGGATCATGAAGAACTGGCTAACATCTCCCTCTTGAAGCTAGGTTTTCTTGGCTGCTTGCCACTTCAACCCCCAATCGCTGTATCTCTGCACTGCCTTGAGTTGTACTATCAGATATGCCGTCAAAAGTCTTCATTCAGTGTCCAGGCAATGGTGAAGGTCTTATGTGCCCTCCACAACATAATTTGCAATCTTCTATATTTTGCTATCATTGTTTTTCACGCTACAGTAGCAGACATACTTTCAATTATTTTGAGATCAATTTGCCATTGCATTTAATGCATATCTTTGCATTTTATGTGGCGTCAAAGCCCTTGTTGACGAGGCTCTTCAATGAGACATCATAAATTGGTGCATGTTGCATGCATGCCCACCATGTAATGTTAAGGTTGGATACTGATCAATTCAATATACTATACATAATTGATGCTACAGTGCAGCAGCCCAATGAACCGTTACTTTACCCTGCTCGTCTGGATTCTGTTGATGGTAAAAATTCTCTCAAACACATCAATGACTCTGGACATGCTGACAAACGAGTTTTCAACTCCTCATATCTCATACTTCCAGTCGATGTTGAAGTGTTCAAAGATGATGTCCAATTGCACCCAGGCACACATATGGCTACTGATAATGCAGAGACAAGCAATTTGGAACCTTCTGACGAGTCAGTGTGCACTGAAAACTGGAAAGCCGTGAATACCATCAGTGACAAGACAATTGATGTCTTCGATCAGACTGGTGTCTTCATCAGTGTGTGTCACCATGGTATCATTCAAACTCTTATTGAGATGAGATGGAGTGGAGAACTGTTCGTCCACTTTCATCTAAATTATTTGATTACACTATCTGAATTTTGAAGTGTGAAATACACCCTAGCAATGGCGAACAAGCTCATTGATGTTTACAGTTCTGATGGAGTGATAGGTTACAATATTGGATATTTATTCACCAAAACTGCAGCCACAAGCTCAATAGCAGTGAAAGTCAAGAATTATAATCATCACTTTGTTGTCAACTCCTTCCATGGTCATGCACATAATCAACATTGTCAACTTCAATTCCACATGCTTTATCAATGAGGTCTCAGAATAGAAGACCTTGAAACTTGTGAACGAGTCTTCTCAGGCTCTAATGCTGTTGCTCCGGTCATACAGCATGCTTCATATTTCCACTGGCTTCAATTCATAGATTTACACTTCGACCAATGGGATCAAGATTGGTACCAAAAACTGAGTATTTTTTAAGGTCGTGCTCAAGGGGGAGGTTACTCAAAGGGCTTTGGCTTCAGCTTGTGCACTGTGCCCCTTACCTGAGTACATGCCCTTAATTTCCGGTGGGCAGAGGGGAAGTCCAATGGAAGTCTGGGGAGTTCCAGAGGACAAACGTTGGTGGAGTTTGGCGGAACTCCAGAAGACTATGTGGGGACGGAGTAAGGCTACTATGGAAATCTGGAGTAGAAACAGAACAGAGGTTAGACTACCCTAAGGTAGAGCCGGAGGATTAGTCCTAAGGTTTAACCCCTAAGACTCGGAGGTGGACAAGAGGTGAGACTCAAGTCCGGAGATTGCAGGAATGAGCAGAACTAAGATGATATTCAAACTGAGGAGTTCTGGAGTATTACAGGGGCTTATATACTGTAGGTATCATGTAAGTAAATCAGTCAGCAAAGGTAAGGGCTATGTACAAAGCATGTGGAAAGTCTATTACTAAGTATAACGGATCAAAGCAGTGAAGTCGGAAATGAAGTAAGAATGAACGGATCAGTAAGCATAGTGGAATAGGACATAACCAGTGACCGGAGCAATAGCTAATCTAAAAGGAGTTAGGGGTGAGTGTGGAGATGAAGACGGAGTGCCGGGTGGAATAGCAGGACGGAGGACTGGACTTTAATGAAGTAGATCCTGGAATTCTGGATCCAGAGGTACAGGATATGACAGTATTACAACTTCTCATCATCAAACTTTAGCACATTAAAATTTTCTTCTAGGTCAATTTCTGTACCAAAATTACAAGCAAGCACTTGATATCATTGATAATTTGACACCTGTTGTAGAAAAACTCAAAATTCAACTGAGGATCATGGATACCAACTTCGAGCATTGGAATATTGAGGAGTTAGAGTATCTTGAGAGTCTTTTGACAGAGCAAGAGTATGATCCTCAGAAGATCGTGTATGTGGAAGCACTGCAGTCACTCACTAAGGCTGAGTAAGTGTTTAATACTATCAAACATGCTCAGCTGATAAGGTTTCAGGGCTGAGTACGGGGGGATTACATCAGGTCCAGTTTCTATTGTACACTTCCACTGATTTTACACAGAATTCTGGTCTTTGGAAACAAGCTCAAGTGGCAACCAAGGTCTGGGAGGCTGAGCGTCAAGTCATGCACAATAAGCTTCCTACTTTCAATGAATGTCATACTTGATCTAGAGCGATGGCTGAGTATTGAAAAGCTGCTGGACTCTGAATGATGCTGAATACTAACAAGCATATGTGTTTGTAATGAATTGGCAGTTCATTTGGGTGGTTGAACAGTTAGAGGGACTGGTCGTGCAGTGGCTGTTTGAACTCACAAAGTCTAATCTTGCTGGTACAGGTGCATACAGTGTCAGATGACTTCACAGTGCTGACTGTCACACAGGATACAAAATGTGCCAACATATTTCAAATGCTATTACCCATCATTCAACTGCAATTCAAAATGCACTTGAACAATACAATCATCTTGCCTGTCATATCCCATACCTCTGCACATGGAATTCCAGATTCTCCCCTATAAAAGTTTGGGCTTCTGTCCTGTTCTCTGTCCAGTGCTCCATTTTCATCTCCAGACTCACACCTATCTCCTTTTAGATTATTGCTCTCTGGCTACTGGTCATACACCTTTCTGCCTTGCTTACTGATCTGTCTGTCTGCACTTCATTTTTGACTTCATTTCTTTGATCCGTTGTATACTTACTAGTAGATTTTCCATATGCTTTGGGCATAGCCTTTTACTTGCTGACTGATTACTTACATGATATCTACAGTATATAAACTCCTGTAAAACTCTGTACCTCCTCAGTTCAAATATCATCTTAGTTCCTGCTCATTCCTGTTTCTCTGGACTTGAGTCTGATCTCTTGTCCACCTCCGAGTCTTGGGGTTTGTTCCTTAAGACTATATCTCCAGCTCTACCTTAGGGTAGTCTATCTCTGTTCCATTTCTACTCCAGGACTTGTCCAAAGTAGCCTTACTCTATTTGCTCCTAGCCTTCCAGAGTTCCACCGAAACTCCCCTTGTGTCTGACCTCCGGACTTACCTGGACTTCTATCAGACTTCCCTTCTACCTCTTGGAAATTAAGGGCATGTACTTGGGTAAGGGGCACAGCGCACGAGCTGAAGCCAAGCCCTTTGAGTTACTCTTCCCTTGAGCATGACCTTAACAGTATATTCGAACTCACACCTTACCAAGTACACTTACCCCTATTCCTATGGCCCCTACAACTCATAGTAATCTTGCAGCAGCCAGACTAACATCAACCCAGTGTGACCCTGCACCAGTAGTCAATACCTTCACCAGCTTCTCCCAGTGCTGTGCTAGCATGCATGGTACAGCTCAAAGCATTTCCCAACTCATCAATCATGACCATCCAGAAACCCCCACACAAACCCCTGCCGGAGGTCCTCCGGATGATGAAGATCCTGATGATGATGATGATGGAACTCTTGGTGGAAACCTACCAGATGACTTCAGAGACGATCCGGATAATGGTCCAGATAACAATGAGAATGATGTTCCAGACAACAACAATGGCCTTAATCCACAAGACCACATTTTTCTCTGGTTATCAGAAGCCATTGATAACCTTGCCCACAACAGTCGTTGTGCAATGAGCTCTGAAGACTCCAGAGTCAAAGTCTGAGAACCAGATACCTTTGATGGTACCAAGCCCCAAAAGCTCCACACATTCTTTGTACAGTGTGAACTCAATTTCCAGAGCAAACCCCAGTCCTTCTGCTCCGACCGAGCTAAGGCAAACTTTGCCCAATTGTACCTAAAAGGCATGGCCCTTGAATGGTAATGGTTTGAACCAGACCTTCTCTCCAATGAACTCCATGACTGTCCAGACTGGATGGACAATTATTCTGAGTTTATGTTGGAGCTTCAGACCAATTTTGGTCCCCATGACCCAGCTGGCAATGTGGAAGTACAACTTGGGCAACTCAATATGCGTGAAGGACAGTGTATCAACAAATACATTGTAGAATTCCAATGGATCACCTCACAAGTCTGTGGGTGGGGCAACGGAGCTTTATGCTGTCAGTTCTATAACGGACTTCTGGCCCACATCAAAGATAAAATCAGTCGCCTGTGTAAACCTACCACCCTCATGGAATTCAAAACTCTCACCCAGATCATTGATGCATGTTACTGGGAATGCAAGGGAGAAGTCTCCCATGAAAGCAAGACCTCCGCTCCCAATCCTCCTATTAAGCAATCCACTCTGGACCGGAACAGTTCCTCTGGATCCGAGAGTGATGCCAAATTCCCTAAAACATCCACCTCCACCTCTACCTCCAAAGCTCCAGATCTCACTTCCAAACTCAGAAAAGACAGAAAGCTCACTTCAGAGGAGCGGCAAAAATGTCTAGACAACAAGCTCTGCTTGTTCTGTGGCAGCCCTGGTCATACAGCCAGAGACTGCTTGAAGTTGACCTCATGCACCACCAAGGGCCGCACAGCCACGGTCACCCCGGAAACTAAACCAGAGACCTCAGAAGAGGCAAAAAATTAGTCCACAACCCTCCTGACTCCATGTGGGATGAGGGTTGTATTGACTCAACCCACACACCAGAGTTACGTCTCAATGCTGTCGCCCTCTCCAATTCAACTTCCCTTTGTCCATATATCTCTCTTCCTACATATTCCGATATCTCCGATTTCCCTGCTCTTGTAGATTATGGTTCTTCTCATTGTTTTATAGAAACTAGTTTTGTCCGTAAATACAGTCCTCCCTACCTATGCAATCCCTCCACTTCCACTCCCCCTGTTTGATGGTACCTGTAACACTACTATTACTGAAGCTATAGATTTACCCATCTGTTTTTCCTCTGGCATAGTTACCTCTGATACATTTTATGTTACTCCTTTGGATTCTGTTAAGACCGTGCTCAGGGGTAAGGCTGGATCTGAGGGGCTCGGCTTCAGCTTGTGCGCTGTGCCCCTTACCTGAGTACATGCCCCTAATTTTTGATTGTAGTCCGACTTGAGTTCTACAAGCTCCGACAGGACATCGGAGCGGAGGTCCTCCAAAGGAGGACTGATGGACTACTAGGTACGCATGGGAACATCGGGCGGAGATTGGTCTGCCCTACAGGGGAGAGTTGGAGGGCTACTGCAGTTGGAGCTAACAGTAGGAACAGAGTGGAGGAGACTGCTTGGACGAAGTCCAACACAGGATGGAGATATGGTGGAAAGGGGTACAAGAGTATTAGCCACATGTCCGACGTGCAGGAAAGGTGGTGGAGGCTTGGGAAGTTGGACAAGCGGAGAAGGTGGCCGACCTAGGGAGTCAATCCCCTAGGCTGGCAAACAGGAGCTGACTTGGTTTGAGCCTAAGTCAAAGGACAGAAGAGCAGGGCTTAGGAAAGGTAATATTCAGACTGAGTATCTACAGACAAATGTACATAGGTTTATATACTCTAAGTAATAGTAATGAGCATAGCATGGCAGAAGGCTATGTGCTGAGTGTACAGTATTACAAGAGGATGACTGAGACATACAAGAATAAGGCTCAGAGAACAGTATGTACACAACAGATCAATAATTGCCAGGGTATAGGGATTACCGGTGATCCGAAAGGAGGGACTATGATACCAAAAGGGGATAGGACCAGTTGAGTGGTTCCTAGTCTAGGAGTGGACCAGTGAGGTGGTCGGATGGACTAATAGTCAGGTGGGGAAATACAAGCGGAACTGAAGGATCTGAGTGGATTGGAAAAGTGGAGGGAGTAGGAGCAGGATTGGGCGGACTGATAGGGTGGAGGAGTGGAACTCCAGATAGGGTTGGATGGAAAGAATATGGTGTCGGAGGGAATAGGGGTAGTGTTGGAGGAGTGGAGTGGAGTGGAGTCGGACAGAGGTAGCAGGGCTAGTCCTGCTGAGATGCACTTCATGCATTGTCGGGGAAGGAGGAATGAAGCAGATGTGGAAACAGGGGGTCAGACCAGCAGTAGGGATGCTCACAGGTGGTGTTGGAGGTGCTTGGATCCAGTATATGACAGATTTGTCTTGTCTTATCATTCTAGGATATAGCTGGCTCTCCCAACACAGTTTGTTGATTGACTGGGTCACAGGCAGCATTTATTTCCAAACAATACCTCATGGAATGCCATTGACCCCTCTAACTCCACCCCCGCCTCCTCCAGTGGAAACCCCTGCCCCAGCTACACTGAGCTCCTCTGCTGATAAAACTGGCTCCCATATATCTCTAGTAAATGCTGTTGCCTTCTGCCAGGCCTGCAAGCTAGAGGGGTCAACCCAGTTCAGTATTTACCTTCGCCCCTCTGGTGTTGACCTCCGCTCTGCTACACTCTCCGCTAATCCTCCAGATCTCTCCAGTATCCCTTCAGAATACCATGAGTTTGCAGATGTTTTCGACAAAGGCAAAGCAAGCCAACTTCCTCCACACCAGCCTTATGATCTGAAGATTGACTTGGAAGAAGGAGCTGCCCCACCACTAGGCACCATCTATTCCCTTTCCCTGGTAGAGCTTGAAGCTCTCTGGAAGTTCCTTGACAAAAATATTGTAGCTGGACTGCTCCGCTCCTTGTCTTCTCCACATGGGGCTCCCATCCTGTTTGTCAAAAAGAAGGACAACTCTCTATGCCTCTGTGTGGATTTCCGAGGTCTCAACCAGATTACCAAGAAAGACCGCTATCCCCTGCCCCTCATTGCTGACCTCTTAGATTCTCCAAGCCATGCGAAAGTTTACATCAAAATTGACCTCCAGTCTGCTTATCACCTCGTCTGGGTAGCAGCCAGAGATGAGTGGAAAACTGCTTTCTGTATGTACTATGGCTCCTATGAATGGTTGGTCATGCCTGAAGGCCTTATCAACACTCCAGCGGCTTTCCAGCACTTTGTCAATAGTATCTTTGCCAATATGCTTGATATATGTGTTATTGTGTGCCTGGATGACATCCTCATCTATTTCCAAGACCTTGCATCCCACAAACAACATGTCCATGAAGTTCTCTGACAACTCTGAAAGCACCGTCTCTATGCTAAACCAGAAAAATGCGAATTCCACTCGAACTCTGTAGAATACCTTGGCTACCTCCTATCTCCAAATGGTCTTACCATGTCACCTACCAAGATCCAAGCCATCTGTGACTGGCCAGAACCCCAGAAGGTCAAGGACATTCAATCATTTCTCAGATTTGCCAGCTTCATTTTCAACTACTCGGATATTGTAGTTCCACTCACTCACCTCACTTGCAAGGATACTCCGTGGAATTTTTCTGATGAATGCTGGCAATCCTTTGAGACACTCAAGGAGGCTTTCACCACAGCTCTGGTGTTGACGCATTGGATGCCAGATGTTCCCATTGTTGTAGAACCAGATGCCTCTGACTATGCCATTGCCAGAATTCTATCCATTATCTGTCCAGACTCAGAACTTTGTCCGGTGGCATTCTACTCCAGAATGCTTACAGCTCTGGAACTCAACTACAATACCCATGACAAGGAACTCCTGGCCATCTACGAAGCTTTCCGGACCTGGTGACACTGACTAGAAGGCTCCTCCCAACCGATTGACATGGTCACAGACCACAAAAACCTTGAGTACTTTGCCACCACCAAACTCCTCTCGCACCATCAGGCACAATGGTCGGAATTCCTCCACCAATTCAATCTCATCATCCTTTTCCGTCCCAGAAAACTTGGAGCTAAACCGGACTCCCTCACTAGATGTTGGGATGTCTATCCCAAAGAGGGGATAAGGACTATGCTCAAGCTAACCCTCATAACCTCCAACCAGTGTTCACCACAGAACAGCTCGCTTCGCCCCTATGAGTGTCAACTCTAGCTACCCTGGTGCTCTGAGGAGCTGTGGTCATGGATAACGAACACCTCCGAAAAGACATTTTGACCACCCTCCCTACTGACCCCATTGCTTCCAATCATCTCCCGGAACCTTCAGACCCAAGATGGACAGTAGATGACAACAGATTCCTTCACTGTGACAACTGTATATATGTCCCACAATCCAATGATCTCCACCTCTGCATCCTCTGAAATACTCACGACCATCCCCTATCTGGACACTTTGGTCAAAACTGTATGTTGGAACTTATCCAGCATGAATACACCTAGCATGTAATACACACCTATGTCAAGGACTATGTTAAGTCCTGCACTACTTGCACCCAAGCCAAAGTCCCAAGATATAAGCCCTACAGATTGCTCAAACAACTTCCCATTCCCAGAAAACCATGGAATTCCATCTCCATGGACTTCATAGAACAACTCCCAGTCTCCTCTGGTTTCATGGCCATCCTTGTCATCATAGATTATCTGTCCAAGCAGGCAATATTTGTCCCAACACATGACACCATCACCTCTCCAGACCTCGCCTGGCTTTTCCTGCTCCACGTCTTCTCTAAACACGGAGTTCTGTCTCATGTCACCTCTGACTGAGGCACAGAATTTGTATCCCACTTCTTCTGATCCCTCGGAAAAGCACTAGACATGATACTTCACTTCACCTCCAGATACCACCCAGAGGGTGATGGCCAGACCGAGTGCGCCAACCAGACCCTAGAGCAGTATCTTTGGATCTACTGTAATTATCAACGGAATAACTGGTCTGAACTCCTTCCTTTAGTGGAGTTTGCATACAATAATGCTCCAAGCGCTACCACCGGAGTATAACCATTTTTGCCAATAAAGGATACCATCCCAACATCTCCGTATACCCAGAACGAGATCTTTCCTCCACCCATGCCCGGGATTTTGCTATAGATCTAGATGAGCTTCACCAATTCCTCCAGGAAGAAATGTCCCATGCCCAAGAACATTACCAAGGCCCCGCTGACGCCAGACAAAAGTCCACTCCGGACTTTAAGGTTGGGACCAAGTATTCATCAAAGCAAAATATTTCTGTTCCACCCGGCCTTCCAAAAAATTATTGGAAAAGAACCTAGGTCCTTTTGATATCATTTCCCATCCTGGTACCCATTCCTTCACCATCTGCCTCCCGGACTCCATGCATTCCATGCACCTGTATTCCATGTCTCACAGTTGGAACCTGCAACTCCAAACACCATCCCTAACCATATCCAGCCACCCCCACCTGCAGTTGAAGTCAACGGAGAACCAGAATATGAGATCTCCGAAATTCTAGACTTCAAACTCGACCTCCGAAGGCGACATTGCCAACTCCTGTACCTGGTATGTTGGACTGGGTATGAAGGCACGGACGAAGAAACATCCTGGCTTCTCGCCACAGAACTCGAAAATGTGTCGGAACTCGTCTCAGGCTTCCACTCTGTTTATCTGAACAAACCAGGTCCTCTCGCCAAGTTATGAATCATTCAAGCCTCGAGGGCTCGGCCCTAAAGGGGGGATACTGTCATATCCTGTACCTCTGGACACAGAACTCCAGATTCTCCCCTATAAAAGTTTGGGCTTCTGTCCTGTTCTCTGTCCAGTGCTCCATTTTCATCTCCAGACTCACACCTATCTCCTTTTAGATTATTGCTCTCTGGCTACTGGTCATACACCTTTCTGCCTTGCTTACTGATCTGTCTGTCTGCACTTCATTTTTGACTTCATTTCTTTGATCCGTTGTATACTTACTAGTAGATTTTCCATATGCTTTGGGCATAGCCTTTTACTTGCTGACTGATTACTTACATGATATCTACAGTATATAAACTCCTGTAAAACTCTGTACCTCCTCAGTTCAAATATCATCTTAGTTCCTGCTCATTCCTGTTTCTCTGGACTTGAGTCTGATCTCTTGTCCACCTCCGAGTCTTGGGGTTTGTTCCTTAAGACTATATCTCCAGCTCTACCTTAGGGTAGTCTATCTTTGTTCCATTTCTACTCCGGACTTGTCCAAAGTAGCCTTACTCTATTTGCTCCTAGCCTTCCAGAGTTCCACCAAACTCCCCTTGTGTCTGACCTCCGGACTTACCTGGACTTCTATCAGACTTCCCTTCTACCTCTTGGAAATTAAGGGCATGTACTTGGGTAAGGGGCGCAGTGCACGAGCTGAAGCCAAGCCCTTTGAGTTACTCTTCCCTTGAGCATGACCTTAACATCGCCCCTTTTCAAACACCTCCTGCATGATGTGTTAAAGCTCAGTGAAGTTGCTTCATACACATGGGTAGGAGAATTCAAGTTACTCAAGCACTCATGTTCTGAAATACTCCACAAACCTTGGGCGGTGAAACACTTCAGGATTGTATGGGCACATGAAGAAATCCATAGGCTCAGTATTGAGATCAGCCATCTTCAGGAATGGGTGGATACTGAAGACGCACATATACTTGAAGTCTCAACTGCGCTGGCAATGAGCAACTGTACTGTTAGGTACCGTGCTGGCTCAAGAGGCAGAGGGGTCGGGGCTTGGCTTCAGCTCTTGCACTGCGCCCTTAGCCGAAGTATGTGCCCCGAATTTGGAGCTGGGTCCGACATTGTCCGACAGGTAGGACGGGTGGACCACTTGGGTCCACTTTGGGGGTTGGGGAGTAAGAGCTGCTAGCGGCGGACCAACTAGGAGCGGAGCGGAGAAGGCGGGGAACGATGCGGAGGGTGAATAGGAGCAGGGGGAATGTCTGGTGGGAGCGGAGAAGGCGAAGGATAATGCGGAGGATGGAAAAGGGTCAGGAGGGGAATAAAGGGGCGGAGAAATAAGGGAGAGACTTAGAGCACAGCTCTAAGTTGGAGCGGAGGGTCGGAGGGTCGGAGGTGACAACAAGTTGAAGCTTGTGTCCAGAGGAGGCAAGGTCCTACTGAGAATTCTCACAAGTAGTAACTGCGAGAAGACAAGTAATATTAAGACTGAGGAAAAATATCTAAGTACAGGATATGTTATATACTTCTATGTGAGGCAGTGATCAGGATAACTATGTAGTAAAGCTATGTACCAAGGATATAGTTGGTAAGTACTTTACATAGGCAAAGACATAAGTCGGAGCAGATATCAATATGTACGCATCGGATCAGCGATCAGGCGGTAATAGGAATTACCGGTGATCCGGAAGTAAGGGTCTATGTACCGAAGGGGAAAGTGTATGTCTAAAAGGGGAAAGGGATCCAGTTGAATGGAGAGGTTTATGGAAGGGGACTGGTTGAGCGGTTGAGCGGAAGCGTAGGGCGGAATGCGGGTTTGTGATAGGATGGAGCGGAGGATGGATGGGGCGGAGGGGGTTGGAAAGCGGAGCGGATATCAGTATCGGAGCGGTCGGATCTGGTATATGACAGCAACCCAATTCTCACCAGGGAAATCCAATGGTGATATGAGGAACGTCAGTGCATGAATAACCTTCACCGTGCTTCGCCTCGAAAAAATATAACAGCCTAGCTGGGTATAGTGGGGTTTGTGTTGAACAAGGGAAAGGAATCAACATGGAGGATCAGCTTGTGGTGGTCGAGGAGTTGAGGAGCACTGACTCAATTGAAATTGATGAAGATGATAACTTATGCAACGAAGCAGATTGTTTAGAGTCTTGTATAGCTAGAGTATAGTATTAACTGATTTCAATGCCAAATGTTTCATTGGCAAATGGACAACTTGGAATTAAAGTGTGACATCAAACAATTTCCCTTCCCTGTTGTTGAGTGGCAAATGGATGACTAAGTCCATGCATTATGAGGATTATGCTTTATGACTTGGAGGCTATGCATTATAGGCAAGTGTACTGTATTCATTTCTTTCTACCTAAATGTTAACTTTGTGCATGAATAGAATGCAGTGGTTAGATCTAGCAACAAACAGCAAGAACCTTGTGAGTCCAACATCCCCTACCAGTCCAAATCTTCATCTATTCACTAACTTTCAATTTTCAGACGGCCATCACTCTCACTCTCAATGTGCAATTTGTGTTTCAGAAAGGTCTCCATACTTCACATACATCTGCTCAGCGAGTCATTCTGGGAGACAGTATCAACAAACCAGCAATTATCATGACTGTTGAACAGTCACCCTACTTGCAAGATCCATACCATAGACTCAACTGCAATGCCATTTCCCATACAGTTGAGCTTCTAGGGGACATTTTTTCATCAGGAATTGCCGATCATATTCGCCAGAATGTCTTTACTTGAGGTTGGGCAAAACCACTGATTCCTCCACTGTGTCTCTCTCAAGGTTCAGCTGACTATCCCTCTAGTTTATCCCCCTACTAATTTAACAGCTCTTTTTTGTTCAGATAGCAACAAAAAAATTTTCAGTGTGGCAGTCGCGCCTCTCTTCCCTTCCCACCACTATCAGTAACTACTTGGTGACGTGGTGCCACAAACTGCTCTTGAGCGAAATTTCCAGGGGAGCATTCATCACACAATGCCATTGTCATCTCATCACCCTGTTGTCTCCACATGGACCCCTCAGGTTGGGACCTTAGAAGAGGTCCTCCAGTGCCCAGATTTTGGAACTTGGCTTCTGTCACGCTCGCAAGACCAGGAAACAGCTAGTAGCTCGACCATCAGTATTCAGCTGTCTACTCAAATCCTTTGTACATTAGGTTCACCAAGGCAACAGCCTACCCACCGTGCAACACAGAGGACATGGACACTGATGACACCAACTTGTACAGTCAGATCAATCAGCACAGTATCCAGCATTTCTTCCCAGCTCCACACCATCTTCTGATGATTCAATGTATGTCTCGGATTTGTCTTCAGACATATCCCAGTCTCTGCCCCAATGCCAGTAGCTTCAGTTACAAGGGAAATTGTTTTGCTTCATACTCAGGTATGTTCCATTAAATGTGAGTAAATGGTGGGCTAAAATTTTGCTTAGCATATTGACCGTGAACAGCACAACACCAACCATGGTGCTGTGCATATAGATGGACCCTCTGTGATTATTGGTGCAAATCGTACCACTGAAAATTTTTCAGCTCCACCACATGACAATAATGTGCCTTCCATTTTATGTCCCACTGAGCATCAGGTTCTTGGCCAGTTCCATATTTCAGCATCAGCTCATACTGATCCTGACAATGGACTAACCCTAATGAATTTGCCACCACCACTATATGAACTCATTGACAACATCCCTGTGGTATTTGTGCAAAATGTAAGTTCAGATTCATATTGGCTGACAGTGTGCTGACCATGCTATCAGGGTATTACAGTGAGGATGGGTCAGGGACATCCCAGGAGTTTTGGTACTAGGCAGGGGTAACAAAATTTAATTAGATTTGACTATGGGCTGTACAGTAGAGTAGTGCAAATTCAAACTAAAAATATTTATACATCACAAGAATGACATGAATGGGGTGAACAGGGCAGAAAGTTTAAGTCCGAGATGCCCAAAAAACTATGAAAATCACCATGACTCCATGAAAAATTGTCCATAAATCCTCCCCCCCCCCCAACTTACCACCAATACTCTATTTTTGTAGATGGCTATATCAAAGCATCAATGTGTCCATGCCAAACTGACAACAGTACAGAAGGCTACACATCATGACAAATTTGTGAACCTGATGAATGCAATTGTTACAGTGCATGAAACATACCAAGAAGAGGCTCAGGCCATTGCTCAAGACCATGGATGGTGAGCTTGCATTAAAACACAAGGAAGATTTATTTACCATTGTGGGTACAACAATTCTGCTGGGTGCAGAAAGTGTTGGGTCTTGCTGCCTGCTGCTATACCTGCAAGGAGGTGCATTTGACCCTAGAGGGTTTCTGGACTAGAGCTAGGTAGTGCTCAGAGAGAAAAGTGAATCAAAAGAGCACTGCTCATGGTGGTGGCTCAAGAAGATTGTTTGTTTACATAAGCAGTAAAAATGCGTACATAAACTAAGGAAAGTAAGTAAAAACCATCAATACAAGCCCAGAGTAACATAACTCCCTACACCATTATGCAGAAGCTTGAAGTGGACCAGATGTGTCATATACCTGATCTGACTGCTCCGACGATATTAATATCTGCTCCGCTTGACCTCACACTTTCCCTGCTTTCCAACCACCTCCACTCTGTCTGCCCTCCACTTGACCCAGTCGGCTCCTGCATCTGCTCCTATGGTTCCAATCAACTGACTTGTCTGTTACCCTCCACATTGTTTCCACTCCACTGGAACCCCTTTCCCCTTTTAGGTATATACTTTCTCCATTGACACATAGTACTTACTTCCCAGATCACCGGTACTTCCCATAACCGCTCGTCTAACTGATGTGATGTGTACATATTAATATCCGCTCCGACTTATGTTTTTCACCTGTGTTCACTTACAAATTGTATACTCAGTACATAGCCTCATACTAAGGACTACTAGTCACTGGCTCCTACATAGAAGTATATAAACATACCATGTACTTAGCTACTCCCCAGTCTTAATATTACTTGTCTTCCTGCAGTCTCTACTAGTGGGAATTCTCCATAGGACTTTGCTCTCTCTCTGGACACAAGTTTACCATGTCATCACCTCCGACCCTCCAACTCAGAGCTGTGCTCTAAGTATTCGCTCTTACTTCTCCGACCTGTTAAGACCGTGCTCAGGGGTAAGATGGAGTCTGAGGGGCTTGGCTTCAGCTCGTGTGCTGCGCCCCTTACCCGAGTATGTGCCCCTAATTTCAGAATGTAGTCCGACACAAGTTCTATGAGTTCCGACAGGACGTCGGAATGGGGGTCCTCTGAAGGAGGACCGACGGACTACTAGGTGAGCGTGGGAAAGTCGGGCGGGGGTTGTTCCACCTGACAGGAGAGAGGTTGAAGGCTACCGCAGTTGGAACCAACAGTAGAAGCAGAGCGGAACCACGGGGATGGATGTAGCAGGGTGCTGGGATCAGTTCCAATGCGCAGGAAAGGCAGCCGATGCGCGGGGAGTCAGATGAGCGAAGGAACAGAGGAATGGAGGAATGGAGGAATGGAGGAATGGGGGAATGGAGGAACAGCGGGGGAGCAGGGGAGTGGGGGAGCGGGGGAGCAGGGGAGCGGGGGAGCAGGGAAGTGGCCGACCTAGGGAGTCAATCCCCTAGGTCAGCAAACAGGAGTTGACTTGGGTTAAGTCTAAGTCAGGGAGCAGAAGAGCAGGGCTTAGAAAAGGTAATATTCAGACTGAAGATCTACAGACAGATGTACATATGTTTATATACTCTAAGTAAGTAGCATAGCATAGCAGAAGGCTATGTGCTGAGTGTACAAGATTACAGGAGAGATGACTGAGACATACAAGAAGAGGCTTGGAGAATAGTATGTACGCGACAGATCAGAAATCACTTGGGTATAGGGATTACTGGTGATCTGAAAAGCGGAACTATGATACTAAACGGAGATAGGACCAGTTGAGTGGTTCCTAGTCTAGGAGTGGACTGGTG